TCTGCCATCGGATGGATGAGGATGGTGGACACCTGTTTTTCAAATGTAAATATGTAAAACAGATATGGCGCCAAATGGGGCCTGACCGCCTGACAATATAAGAGAGAAGCTGAAGGATCAGAGGTCTGTTATGAATGTAGTTGAGCAAATACTGATGCTGGATCGGCCAATACAATTAAAAGTTTTGTTCCTTATGTCGAACTGGTGGAATGAAAGAAACCGAATCAGGGAAGGAGAAAAGAGAAGAGATGCTTCTGAACTAGCTGCATTATCTAGCAGGCAAGCCGAGGAAGTTGAGTGCTGCATGAAAAGCCGAGTATCCCTGAGCAGGCTTGTGTTTTTAGAAAATGGAAAAGACCCACATTAGGATTTCTCAGTTAATGTTGATGGAAGCTTTGATGCAACGACAAAGAACGGAAGCTGGGGATATGTGATCCGTGATGAGAATGGAGAAGTTATCCGAGCTGACGCTGGACGATCTGAGTATGTTTATAATGCAATGCATTCAGAACTTTTAGCTTGCTCAGGGCGTTAAATCTGCACGTGATGAAGGGATAACAAAAATCGATCTTGAGACCGATGCTTTCAGGTGAAGCTAGCATTACTGTCAGCAGATCACCGATTGGCAGTCCTAGGAGGCCTAGTACACGAACTGAAAGAAATGCTACTGGAAGTTTTTACCTCATCAAGAGTAGAGCATGTTCCTAGAGAATGTAATCAAGTAGCTCATGAGCTTGGGCTTCCTATCAGCTAGGACATGATTATGTAGCACACGATGTACCTGGTTGTATTATGGGTTTGGTGGCCAGCGATTTAGCTGGATTACTGGTTTAATGGAATCTCATTGGTTCCTCAAAAAAAAGAAAAAAACTCTTCTCAGAAGCAGCAACGAACCAGTTCGGTGGCGCCAAACACAGCAAATGGATGATACAATTTCTCAGGATCTTCAACGATTTAGAGCAGAAACATAGTGGGTCGCACCTAATATTAATAAGTTCATAACAATTTTTCCAAATAAGTTCATAACAGCATCAACCATTGCAACACTTAAGCAGCAGGTCCAGGTTCTACTTCTACCTGTCATCAAGACGACAGTTGCCTGTTTATCAAACCACGCCATACACTTACGCCCTGTTCGCTTGAACTTATCAGCCGTACCGTTTCAGTGAAATAATAGTATTGGCCAAAACTTTTACTGTGTTTATCCCATCTTTTGACAAAATGGATCTAAACATCATAGGCAAAAACAGCAAAACTTGGGCTACAAAACTTTTGGCATTTGGGACCCAAGAGGCCCAAAACTAGGCAAAAAACGTCTTGAGAGCGCGTGTTGTGTCTGCATGGCTAAAGTTTTGCCATGCATCTAAATACCAAATGCCAAAAGTTTGAATGGTAAAAGTTTTACGGCAAAAGTTTTACACTTCCAAAAGCATCTAAACACCCCCTAACTAATAAATTACTTTCCCTGGGAATAGTCCACAATCCCGAGGGGACTGGACTTCCCAAACTAGCACTAGGCACTAGTCACTTGACAGACATGGCGACCACTACGCCGAAGAGCAGGACAACTACATTAGCCACGAAGAACCACTTCACAATGGCTTTTGCCCACAACGCGATCGAATCAGTCTTCGCGACCTTCTGAACCTTGTCCCCAGCACCAAGCTTGCCCTTGAAATCTTGAATGTCTGTCTTCAGCTGGGCGATGGCCAACTTCTGCGCCACCATCTCATGCTTCAGATCCTCCATATAGCAGCGACCATCTCTGGGATGCCCACTGGCTCTGGTATGAGGAAGCCACTCGGCGCTGGTATGAGGTAGCCCGTCCCCTGCCCCTGCTCTGGAGTGGCTGCAGGGCCAAGCAAGCCTCTATCCCTTAGGATCGCTTCGTATTCCTCCTTGGTTTTGAAGAAGGAGCAGCCGCCACGCACCTGAAACAAATGGCAACATATCATCAGCCATAGTTTTTAGGAGTTTTTTTTTCTGAGCAAGTTGACTGCCCAACTCCCATGTTCCACTCCACTCTGCACAAGCTGGGGATAAAATCCCCCTTGATCCCCAATTGGAGGGTATTGAGAGGGATTTTGACTTGTCGGGGATAAAATTCACCTCAATCCTCTCCAATCCCTTTGGATTGGGGATCACCCGAACAAGCCGTCAGTCCTCTTGGATTGAGGATTAACCGAACAAACCCTAGTGGTACTAAAATATTCACAAACCATATATATTCACCTCTTTGTGTAGTGTGAGAGACAGCAACCAACGAACCCTACATGCTTTTTCACATGCACCCGCCAATTTAACTGAAGCTAGCCCTTGATGGCAGTGGCACCTAACAAGCTTACACACCAAAACTGAACTACAAGATCTTAACATTTTTTTTTTCAACAGTCGGGGGCGGTTTAATCCGCAAGCCATTATTTACTTCTCTGGTAAACAGATAAAAATCTCAGCCACTCTTCAAGGTGACACTGTACCAAGAATCGAAAACCTAAAATGGCAGATCGGATCCGCATGTATAGTACCGTCGCCCCCCATAGCCATAGAGGTAGAGGGCACAACCAATATGCAGACACAAAAACGAGCGAGCAAGATTTCCTTACCCCGGTCTCGTTCCGGCGGCAGCTTGAAGGATTTCCGGTTATAGTTCCTCCGAGTCCCGGAATGTACTCCTCCACAGCATCGCCGCACTCAGGGCAGGGGATCAGAGGCAATCCCGACCAAATGCCCAACGGCGGCAGATCTGGTGTCGGCGTCCCGCCCGGCGTCGCCATCCCGCCGCGGTGGCTGCCCGCGAAGGAATCGCTGGGGGTCGGGGAGCGACTAGCTGGAGACCGCGAGGTGGGGGAAGACCAGTGAGTCATTGGCATGCCATGCACGAGTGGGTGTGGAGGAGCCGTTGAATTATAAGACTTGAGGCCCCCTTCCGTAATTTCACCACACGAACACGTTGCTGCTGTTAGTTGGAAAGTACAGTCCGGTATTAATGCCAGCAGTAGATCGACGCACACAGCTGCCGGTTATGAAGTGAATCATTTTTTAAAATACCATTTCGGCTATTCTGCAACACAACCGTTAATGTGAAAATGGTTCACTTGGAATTACCAGCCGAACTTATTAGCCATAGTATATTGTTTGTCTCTAGTAACCAAAGCAGCATTACTTATCAGCCGTAAAAATCATCAACCAAACAGTTCCACTATCTTAGGGCTTGAACACAGGATCACTAGTTTGGCCCTGATCGCTTCAACTTATCAGTCATAACGTTTCCGCGAAATAACAGTGTTTATCTCTCACAACAAATCAGCATCAGCCATTTTTTCAATCAGCCGAACATATGGCCCTGTTCGTTTGACTGATAAGTCATGGCTGGAAGTATTGTTGGCTGATTTATTGTGAGAAAAAATACTGTTCGTTGGCTGAAAAAATACGAATTATAAGCCAAGCGAACAGAGCGATAGCCTTTATCATAATTAGGACACCTAATTGACTTTAGGGACTCGGGGTGTACATAATTGAATCATATTTTTCAAGTATTCATTGGAGGATGAGGATTTAACTAGAATCAACCAAACAAAAATTATGTGTGATGTTTCATCTGACATCAAATAAAAAAAATCTCGTGAATATTGATGATATATGCATTGCTTTCTTTCTTTCCAAAACTTACGCATTCGCTTAGGGCGTCTCCAACTATTCCCAAATAACTACTCTAGGAAGAATTTTATTGACTATTAAGGAGAGAGATTAAATAGCTAGTGACTCTCAAATAACTTGTCTAACACGATCTTCAACAAACAACTCTATCGCACAGGTCACATAAACCTCCACTATAATGTTATTTTTTTATTATTCCTCATCTAGCTAGTTAGCTATTTGCAAGTTGCCATTAAAGACGTCCTTAAGGCTTTCTCCGGTCCACAAGAGAAAGTATGAGAAGGGGTCTAGTATTGTGTTTCAAGGAAAATCGTGCGTGCTCCAAAAACGAGAAAAGTTTATGTGTTTTAATACAAATGGAGGTGTGGAGAGAAGCGTGGGTACAAATTTTATTAAAAAAAAAACGTCCCTTGACTTCTAGTTATATACAGAATGCGATAATAACTACTTTTTTCGAGCACATGCCTAGACATGTTTTTCATTTACTAATAAAAGTCTACTTTTAATCAAATCCTAATACGAAAGTTTCAAAAAGAAAATCCTAATACGAAGAAAAGGAGGAAGTAGGATTACGGTTACGGTTCGTTGTTAGAGATCCTGCAATGGAATTCGTTAGAGCTAGTCGGCGACCTGATACTAAGCTTCTACAGATGGAACATGTCGCCCTTTCACCTGACTTGACCAATAACCAAGCAAGTGATTGAAGTGTCAAGTTGCCACGCTCTGGATTAATCCTAGCTATATAGGCCCAGGCCACTGGCTTTCAGCAGCAATTCAGTAAACTATCATCACGAAGCAGTTTCTAAGTTTACCAGCTCTTCTCAGAAGCAGCAACGAACCAATTCAGTGGCACCAAGACGCAGCAAATGGATGAAACAATTTCTCAGGACCTTCAACGATTTAGAGCAGAAACATAGTGGGTTGCACCTAATATTAATAAGTTCATAACAGCATCAACCATTGCAGCACTTAAGCAGCAGGTCCAGGTTCTACTTCTACCTGTCATCAAGACGACAGTTGCCTGTTTAACAGATCAGGCCATATACTACACTTGAGCAACAGCGGGTTAGCGGCTAGCTTCCTTGTGCCTACCTGAAACACTTGTCAAACAAAAATTTCCCCTTACCCCACACCTACAGACTAATTCAAAAGTAAAGGGGAGGCAAACTCAGGAATGCAAAGCCTCCTATGTATGGAGAACTAAGTGGCTAATAGATTACTTACACTAGGCACTAGGCACTAGTCACTTGGCAGACATGGCGACCACTAAGCCGAAGAGCAGGACAACTACATTAGCCACGAAGAACCACTTCACAATGGCTTTTCCCTGAAGCGCAATCGAATCAAGCCTTCGCAACCTTCTGAACCTTGTCCCCAGCACCAAGCTTGCCCTTGAAGCCCTTGACATCTTCAATGTCTGTCTTGAGCTGGGCGACGGCCAACGTCTGCGCCACGATCTCGTGCTTCAGATCCTCCACAGCAGCGACCATCTCTGGGTTGCCCACCGGCTCACCACTCAGCGCTGGTACGATTATCTTTTCGTATTCCTCATGGGTTTTGAAGCAGCAGCAGCCGCCGCCAGGCACCTGAAACAAATGGCAACGTATCATCATCAGCATTAGTGTTTTGGAATTTTCTTTTTCCCTGAGAAAGTTTGACTGCCAAACTCCCATATGCTCCCACTCCACAGTCCACACTGCTGAAGTAGGGGATACAATCCCCCTGATCCCAAATCGCAAAATTAAACCACTTCAATCCCTTTGGATTGGGGATCAACCGAACAATCCCTCAATCCCCTTGGACTGAGAATTTAACCGAACAAACCCTAGTGGTACTAAAACATTCACAACCAGATTATCTTCACCTCTCTGTGTAGTGTGAGAGACAGCAACCAACGAACCTTCCATCTACATGCAGCATGCCTTTTCGTATGCACCTGCCGATTTAATAGAAGCCAGCCCTTGATGGCGGTGGCAGACTGGCAGCTTACAAGTTCACACACCAAAACTCAACTACAAGATCTAAGAATTTCTTTTCGACAAAGTCGGGGGCGGTTTAATGCGCAAGCCATTATTTACTTTTCTAGTAAAACAAATCTCAGCCACTCTTCGGTGCTACACTGTAGCAACCAAAATCGAAAGCACATGTACAGTACCGTCGCTCATAGAGGCCACAACCAGATGACGAAGACATAAAAACGAGCGAGCACGGTTTGCTTACTCCGGCCTCGTTCTGGCGGCAGTTGGAAGGATTTCCGGTTGTAGTTCCTCCGGGTTCCGGAATATTGTACTCCTCCCCGCCGCACTCAGGGCAGCGGATCAGACGCAATCCCGACCAAATGCCCAGGGGCGGGAGATCTGGTGTCGGCGTCCCGCCTGCCGGCGCCATCCCGCCGCTGAGCCTGCCGCTGCCCGCGAAGGAATCGCTTGAGGAGCGACTAGCTAGAGACCCCGAGGTGGGCGAAGGCCAGTGAGCCATTGGCGTGCCGGGCACGAGTGGGGTGACCTGTGGATGATGAGGGTGGTTTGAAAAGAGGATGAGGACGACTGGGAGTGGGCTGAGGCTGAGCCCTTGAAGCGAGGAGCGAGCGCCTGACGGTAGGAACGAATTGGTTGGTGCGGCAGAGTAAACGCCGACTTGACATTGCCTGGAGAGGAGAGCTCCGGTACAGGCGCGCCCGTCTTGTGGGAAAGGCGCGAGACTGGGGAGAGGGGCAGCAAGCCCGGTGTCCGCCAGGGGACCTCCTTGGTGCCCGAGGCCAGCCGAGGTGGCTAGAGGCGGACCGGACCGACGGCCCATCGAGCTAGATGGCCCGGCTGCTTTTTCCTCTCAATTTACTGTTTATCAAACCAGTTGAATAATATTTTTCTCTCACAAAATTTAGCTGGAACAGTGTTTTTTAGCCGAGTTTTAAATCACGAACGGGGCTGGTAACGATGACGACAACGACCAGTTTGTGCGGGTGGCTGAAGCCCTGGCACATGGATGGACGTGCATGCTAAAGATGAGATGTCGCCCTTTCACCTGACGTGACAAGTAAGCATGCTCGTAATTGGAGTGTCAAGTTGTCACGCTCTGGATTAATCCTAGGCAGGCTATATAGGCCCAGCAGGCCACTTCTTTCCGCAGCAATTCATCAGTCAACTAGTATCACGAACGAACGGTCCAAGTAGAGCCGGTACCCAGTACGTCGATTGGAGGGATGAAATTTGAGAAATTCCGGGACCCTAGCTGTTGGAAAAAGCCTGTTTGGTTGTTTTGGCCGGTTTGGCACTTGAAACATTGCCACTCTGAGCCAATGACACGTACTGTAGGTCCATGCGATAAGAAAATGTAGTAGAAGACATTGCTTGAGGTGGTATAAGGCTCCCCACTCTTTTTTTTTTTAGAGAGAGAGAGAGAGCGGAGGTGTGAGACTCCAGATGGCTGCGCCAAATACACTAGCCCGCCCGCGCACCATGCTCCCATTATCCCATTTCCTTCGTTATTAGGCCTTTCTTAGCTGAACCGAAATCTTAGCCCATCCCGCAGATGGGCCCTACTAATATTGATCGTGATCACTGATCACTGTGCTCAGCTGCCAGCGCAGACCCTGCGGAGCCTCGCCGGAGACCGGCGGAGAGGCGGAGACGGAAGGACCCACCGGCGCCGCCGAGCCAGAGATGAGGAATAACCCAATGCCCAACCAACTTTTATACTACCCCACCTGCCTAGGGCTTGTTTAGTTGCCCCAAATTTCAGAATTTGGCACTATGCAAAAAGAAGATTCCCCGTCACATCAAACTTGCGATACATGCATAGAGTACTATATGTTGACGAAATCAAAAACTAATTGCACAGTTTGGTTGTACTTTACGAGACGAACGTTTTGAGCCTAATTAGTCAACGATTGGACAATTATTACCAAATAAAAACAAAACGCTACAGTAGCTACAGTGCGCCCCGAATCCGGCGGCGCCGATTCGGTGGCCGAACTAAACGCGGCCCTAATTTCACGACGAGCTAGCAGCCGAGACGACGTAACGTACGCGTTTGCTGACTTGCGCATGTACGGCCGGCACCGCGGCTTCTCGTCTCCACACTCCGATCCGGTCATGTGGGCACGCTGTGGATCAGTTTGGGTTGGCCCCGGCAAGGCCTGAATGCTCGCAACAACCCTATCACACGCTTAGGGCTCGTTCGGCTGGTGCAAATACCAGCTGGAAAACACTGTTCTCGAATGAAAACACTGTTTACGCTCTCACAAATCCCTTTAGATTCATCAAGATTCCTCCGAGCGAATAGGCTTAAATCTTGACTTGTGCACTACATAACCTACTGGCGTGGACAGCGTGGTGTCTCGCCTTAAAGCCCTGTTGCTGGACCTGCTACGGTACCATGGTCAGCTGACAAATCATTAGTACGTCACACTTCGTTGTGTGAATAAAGAAGGGGAAAGGGGCAAAAAAGAGACGTTAAAAAACGGGGAAGCTCTACGTCGCATACATATGTATGTATGTGTGAATTAGAGCATGTTTGGATCTATACTGTTCCTCTCTTCGCTCAAAAATTATATTTTGTTTTGACTTTTCTAGGTATATATACACATGATATTTAAATAAATAGAAAAACTATGAATTTAGAGAAGTCAAAATGACTTATAATTTGGGACGGAGAGAGAGAGTAATTGTTAGCTGCTATCAGGGAAAAGTAGCTAATATCATCTATTAACGGAGCTATTAGCTGAAACCCTGCTTGGGTTCTCCAGCTAATTAATGGTCGTGTTGGCAGGAACTGAGCTTGGTTGTGGCAGCACCCATGATAGGAGATGCAATAGATCATTGAAACTACAGTCTGACCAGCCGTACTTAGCCTTCAGGATGAGTAGCTCAAACACAAAACGTAGCAATGTCCAATATGTCGGACAGCCCTTTTCAACACCATACACAGTCTCATTCGATGCTTTTGTCACCCTTTCTAAATTTTCTAGACCTTTCGAGCTATTTAGTAAAATATCTGGTCCAATGGTTCAAATCATGTTCTCCAAATCATCTTCATCTCCGGCCGTGCTCCACCATCATTATTGGCACCACCTTCACGTTACCATCCCAACCACCAAAGATCACCACCTTGTTCATTGTCAAACTCCGAATCCATTCGTGCATCAAGCTCTGCTTTGAATATTGAGATGGATTTTTATGGTTTCGTCGTCATATTTCTCCTCATCCTCGTCGTTAACAATAACCATTTCACCACGATGAATCCACACTGTGTAGTCCTCAACAAATCCTCGCATAATCAAATGTGATCTGATGATAGTGATCTGATGATAGTCACATCTGTCCATGCCATACATGTCTTGCAATCTTTACAGGGACAAATAATTGTATTTTTATTCTCTGTCAATGTCGTTGCATGCTTCTTTGCGGCTTCAATCAATTTATCCACCTCTTCACGGAAACCTGCATTGAACCTTAACGAATTATACATTCAAGAGTTCCTGTACTCCATCTTTTACAACAACAACAAAACAAACATTAAAGGACTACTTATTAAAAAAAATATATAAATTAATCAAATTAATAATTACTTGAGAATAATTGTATATACTTCAGATATATATGAATATAAATCAAATATAATTACATGAAGCATACAAACACACCATGGTAGAAGAAAAATTATTAATGGCCCATTTATCCATAAATAATTAAAATACATATTTGTTGATTACAATAAACAATTTTAAAGACAACAATTAGCAACAATTATATTTTACCCAATATCTTTCATGTAAACCCTAGTCCAATTTCATCAAACATAAATTTACAAAACCGAAATTAATAAAAAAACAAACCCTAGATCTAGATCTACATGCACATGAAACATCCATAAAACTAATTAATTGTTCACTAAAATCAAGAAACATGGACCAAATAGGGGTATGATCTTGTTCCCCTCCCTAATTTACCCTAATACATTCAATACTTGGGTCTAATTTGCTTCATAAGTAGCTCAAACATCATAGAAGAGAGAGAAAAACAAAACTTTAATTACTCACTAACCAACCATTAAAACTTCAAAAAAAAAGTGTGGAATAGCATTTTCTTACCGTCTATAACCTCTCTACCAAAGGATTTAACACCAAAACCTTCCCCTCTTAGTAGAGCAGTTTTTGGGAGGTGCCCAAAGCCTCCCCACCTTTCTTTCACGGGTTGGAGTGAGTGACCCGAGGAGGAAGAAGGTGCTGCAGTTTGCTTTATATGTGGGTCATTTGTAGGGGCGGCTGGTGATTGAGCCGCCCCTACAAATCGGAGGTATTTATACGCGGGCATTTGTAGAGGCGGCTCAATCACCAGCCGTCCCTACAAATAGCAATACCAGGGGCGGCTGGTGAGTGAGCCGCCCCTACAAATCCAACCTATTTGTAGGGGCGACTCGTGTGACATGCCTCCTCTATTGCTCCATTTGGGGCAGGCAATGGGTCTCTGGGCTCCCGAGCACGCCACTGTAGGGGTGGCTCCATCACCAGCCGCCACTACAAAAAATTTATCCCGTTGCTACAAATCGTTTTTTACATAGTAATTAGTAGTTCTTTTTTCATTAGTTGTAGGTAGCCTGTCAACACCCACGATAACGGTTACTATTATGTTGCTATTAAAATAGGCTATATGTGTCTGCATCTTTGGGAATTTTTTTTTAATTTTAACAATTTTTCAAACTAATTTTAAATCTAACACTCTCGGATTTTTTTTAAAAACTAACACTTTTGGCGCGCTATATTTCCTGGCGCTGCCAAATTCTCTATGCTCGCGCCATGCATGGTGGCCTTGGCGAGGCTGACATGGCGGCGACGACTGTGGCGACCGATCACGACGGGCGAGGCTCACCATTATCGATCTTGGCCTGGCAGTCAGCGCTACCGATCCATGGCGCGACAGCCGGGTATATCCTCTGTCATGACCCGTGTCCACCGATTGCCATTCTCCGACCAAGCCAGAAGTCGGCCCGCGTCGCCCGGCGTGCGTCGGCCACAGCCATGCGCCAACCACCGGGTGGGCGCCAAGCGCCCTCCCCTCCAGAACCTCCGGTCACGCACGGCGGGCTGCCTGCGCCAAGGCCTCTGGCCCGATCTTCACAACAAGAACGAGGTACTCCACTAATATAGTTAGCACAGTTAATAAAGTTGGTAAAATTATTAAAGTATAGTTAGTATAGGTAGTTTAGTTAGTACAGTTATAGTATGCCTTGTATAAATGTTAATATTTGATTAGTTAGTATAGTTATAGTTAGAAAATATATTAATGTTAGTATAGACATTATGTACGATGATTTCGACGACTTAATGAAGTTTCTTGAAAAGCTTTTGCAGATGGATTGTTGTGTTAGAGTTTTGTACAGAGAAAGTGTTAGGAGAGAGGATGGTATGTTTGAGTATACGGAAGGAGAATTAGAATGGTTTGATAAACCTCCTAGCTTCAACGACCTTTGTGTCCGTT